GGGCTACTGTCCTGGGCTGTGGGCTCTGAAATGAGCAAAGCAAGAACTTCTGAATCTCGGGAAAATTCTTTATGCTAGAAGGTATTTTCTAGCGGGTATGACCGTCATTTGTTCAATAAAGGGTGTGCTGCACAGCTTGGCACACTCTGGGACCCTAAGGAAGGGGAAGGCTGTGCCTTGTGCTGTGCTTGTGCTCTGCAGTGCAGTGCTGTTGCAGGTACCAGTCCGCTTACAGGTAGCCTGGCTACATCTGCATTGAAGCACTGTGAAAACATATTTCGGTCCTAAAAACCTTTTTAATTAAGATTTGAAGTAAAGCAAATTGTCATAACCATGGGTTATGTGTGTAAATATCTTAACTACTTAAAAGCCACTTTGCTGTGGACAGCTGATGGAAAACCGGTCTCAGTGCCGCAGAGTGGAAGAAGAGCTCCGTGTGACAGCATAAAGCAGCTCCCTGGACACCTCACGGTTCCTTTGGTGGACTTGCATCCCCATCTGCCTTCCTCGCTGAACAAAAACCTTCAGCTCTCTCTTCTTCTGAAAATATGTTTGCTATTTAGCACATACTCTTGGCCTTTCAGGAAACACTGTCATGCTGGGGTATAGCACTCGGGTGGGGTGTTGTGCTAACACAGCTCTGCTTTGGCTGCGTTTTGGTGGTTCCTAGCTCCTAGTCTGCTCCTCTGGCCTTGCTCCTTGCCCAGCTGGTGCCTGGAGATGCTTTAAAATTCCTGGTGGGGACCAGGGTTCAGTGAGGGCTGGTTAGACCTACATCCACCTTCTAGCCCCGCGAACTGTCCTGAGCTGTTGCTGGTGTACTTCTACTTGAGGAGGGCAACCTGTGGTAGCAATTTGAAATTAGCCGGCTTTTCGGTGTAGTTTTCCAGTTGAAATGTTCCCTGCCGCCCGAGGAGCCGCTGAAGATCGCGTTTCGCTGTGTTCACACGGGAGCCGCTACCGCAAACAGCGGCAGCCTCGCCCAGCTCCCCTGGCGGGGGCTCCGGCACGCCTCGGGCCTTCTCCCCGTGAAGCCCCGCTACACGGAAAACACCCAACGTGGGCTTTTTCACAACCGGCCCGCGTTACTCCCAAGCACCGCTTTCAAGCACGCAGGGGGCAGCCGGGCCCGCAGGCCGGTTGTTTCCCCAGGAGGGCACCGGGCCGGCCTCCAGCTGCCCC